TACTGATCTGGCCAATGACTTTTACTCGATACCAGTTTCAAAAGACCATCAGAAGCAGTTTGCCTTCAGCTGGCAAGGCCAACAGTATACTTTCTCAGTCCTTCCTCAGAAGTATATAAACTCCCTGGCACTATGTCATAATTTAGTCCATAGGGATCTTGATCGCCTTTCCCTTCCACAAGACATCACACTGGTCCATTATATTGATTACATTATGCTGACTGGACCTAGTAAAGAAGAAGTATTGATGACTCTAGACTTATTGGTGAGACATATGCGTGCTAGAGGTTGGGAAATTAACCCAATGAAAATTCAGGCACCTTCCACCTCAGTGAAATTTCCAGGGGTCCAATGGTGTGGGGCATGTCGAGATATTCCTACTGAAGTGAAGGATAAGTTATTGTATCTGGCTTCCCTCACAACTAAAAAGGAGGCACAACGTCTGGTGGGTCTCTTTGGAATTTGGAGGCAACATATCCCTCATTTGGGTGTGTTGCTGTGGCCTATTTATCAAGTGACTCAGAAAGCTGCTAGTTTTGAGTGGGGCCCAGAACAATAGAAGGCTCTGCAACAGGTTCAGGCTGCCGTGCAGGCTGCTCTGCCACTTGGGCCATATGATCCAGCTGATCTGGACTGACATTTGCTCCAGGGACTTTGGACTTGCTGGCTTCTATACGTTTGTGAGCTATTTTCCTTAGATAAATTTCTCTCTCTCCTTTATATATATATATGCTTTCCTGGTTTTTGTTCTGTAGAGAACCCAGTCTAACGCACTTGACTGCTAACCAAAAGGCTGGCGGTTCAAACCCACCAGCCACTCCTCAGAAGTAAGGTTGAGCAATCTACTTCCGTAGATCCTGCCTCAGAAACCCAAGGAGGGGTCGCTATGAGTCAGATCCGATTTGACAGTAGTGCATTTGGTTCTTTTGGTTTAGTCTCCTTCCATACCTCCTTAAGACTTCTTGAATATCAAACTACAGTTTAGCTCCTTTTCTATAAAATGCTTCTGTATTTATAGTTGTAGAGCACAGGGGTCAACCATACCCAGCTTTAATCTATAGGATTTTATGGAATGCCTGGGACAAAATCAAATAATCCCTTCAGTAAATTTGGTTATTCATCTGTCCATTGATTCATTTAGGAAATCTTGTGTCAGCTCTACCCAGAGGAAG